GGGGGGGAGGGGGTTGGCATGTGGGAGGGGCGGGGTGCGTAGCCATGAGGTGTGGCGTGGGGAGCAGCCATGGCAGGCACCACCTCTGCCTCCACCTTTCTGTCTCCCAGTCTGTAAGGCTCTGGGTTAGGGTTAGGGTTACCATCCTTCCAGACATCTCATCACATCTTTCTACTGTAATACTCTCACGAAAATTGATGGATTTTGTGTAGGACCATTTCCAACCAAAGTGGTTATAGCAGCATTGAATACCAAGTCACTCCGCCCCTATGAAGTTTTGTTAATACTTCTGGGTAATGGTGATACGTACAAGACTCTGATATTGTGTATTTTAGAGTCCTCACCACAGCCCCAGGTATAAACTAATCTAAGATTATAAACAAGGGCCAAATTCTGAGTTATTTCACTTTCTGTGAATGTGAAATAATGTATGGAGCAATGTATCTCCAATGAGACTATGGATGAGAGCACAGGGTTCATTCATGAAGAAGACTTTTCAGGCGCAGAGCCTGCACAGAATGGAATATGTTATGGAAAAGTTTGGATTTTGGGAGTCTTGACTTAAGTCACTTGATCTGAAGTGGAGCCAAGCTGTGACAGCTGCTGCTGACTTCACAAGGTGTTTGGAATGCTCAGCATTTCTTGATACCAGATCACTTTTATTGAGCTGCATAACAGTTGTGGTGTAATTAAGATGCCGACAAGCTTAAAAAGTAGAGTTAATCCCTCTTTTGCCTGGAGCTGAAGAAGCTGCCTGTGTGTCTCAGAAACTTTTGGGTTTTTGTTTGTAGCCATGTTGGTCTAAGGATATAGAAGGCAAGGTTCTTTGAGTAGATGTGATATCTTTTATTAGACCAATTAAGTAGTTGGAAAAACGCTCTTGGCAAGCTTCCGGGTGCGGTCACCCTTCTTCAAGCATAGGGAATCGCTGCTGGTCTGAGACTCCAAGGAATGAGAGAAGCTAAAAATGTGGCATGATGTCAGTGAGACTGTAAATTGGTAAAAATTAGAAAGACAAAAGATAAAGTAGGTAAAGAAGGGGGATGAAAGCAAAGGGGCATGGGGGGAGGCCAAAGGGAGACATTACAGTGATAGAATACAAGGTAGAAAAGAGACTGACTGTGAAAAAGGAAATAGCTGGAGATCAGGAAAACAGGAATGAGAGAAGCTAAAAGTGTGACAGGATGTCAGTGAAAATATAAATAGGCAGAAATTAGAAAAAACAAAAGGTTAAGTAAGGAAGGGAGGGGGAAGAAGGCAGGGGAAAAAAAGGCCAAAGGGAAACACTACAGTGGTAATAATACAAGGTAATAAAGAGGCTCTCAGTGAAGAAGGAAATAGTTGGAAATCAGTAGGACAAAGGGCAGAAAAGTAGGGGTGGGGAAGGGGGAGAAAAGGTGGGGGAGGAGAAGAATGTAATAGGTCAGGTCAGGCAGGTACCTAGTGAATTAGATGTCAGGCAGGTTGTAATGTATCATAAAGCCTCCAAAACTTCTTGGCACATAGCTTTTGAGCATGGATAGCTGGAGTGTTTGGTTATTCTAAAACACCAATCTTTCAGCTCACGCCCAGTGATAGTGCCCACCTTTTTGCCCAGAATTCACCCAGGATATGGAAAACCTGGATTCTAGGCCCTCTTGCCCTCAGGTGATTTTAACTACATCCCAGATGAGTTTCCTAATCACCAGCTATAGAATAGGCTTAGTAAAAGGTCTTTCTACCTCTCCAGTTAAAGTTGGACCATTGGGCAAGAAGGAGTGTAAGACTCATGGTAGGCCTACAAGGAGAACAAGCTAGAGTGAGTCTGACTTTAATCTATTGGTTAGGGCACTGCTGAGAAGAGAGACTAGAGTCTGGTCCACACTGCCCAGGTTGTTTCTATTTTTTAACCAGTGTCTAATATAAAATGGATACCTGGTGGCAAGGTGAAAAACTCAGGTCTCCTGTCTCAGAAGATAGCACCATAACCACTAGGTTATAGAGAAATATTGATTCTTTCTTGTGTTCTGTTTAATACCTGAACGTCTTAAAACAGGACGTTAAGGTATATTACAACTTAACTGGTGAAGAAGCAGTTGTGACAGGAAAAATCACATCACAAAGGGATGGTTAATGAGAATGATGTAATAAAAGGAGAGGGCTACTGTGACGCTCGGGTAACAAAGGATGCAGCTTCTCATTGGTCCATATTGGACCAATCAGAAAAGAAGCTTGCTCCCTATACCAAATATAAAAAAATCCTATGCTCAGACAAAGCTAGTGTAAAACTGTCCACACTTTAGTAAGTGGCTGAGAGAAGCCACATGTTACCAGATCAGACCACAAGAAAAGAGACAAAGAAAGAAAGAATGACCAGGTAACCAGAGCCTAACAAGAAAAACTACAAAGCCAATCAAGTCTTCATAAGTAAGGAAAGATAAAGGCAAGCTCAGCTACAGCACAGAAAATCCAATCAAGGCAGTGGAAGAGTAGAAGTTTGCAGCGTGGCTGAGACAGACACTGACTTTCAGTATTTTCATAATAGCTCTTAAGCCAAGAAAATGAAAGCCAAAGTCTCCCACTCTTCCTGGGCTGGGCTGTTATTTTCTGTCAGCCCTGTAGACAGGCTACTGAACAAAGGGCAGATTGCAGAGCACATTGGAGCTGGAGCCCCAGTGTATATGGTCACTGTGCTTCAATATCTGACCGATGAGATCATGGATAGTGCTGCAGAAGTTACCAAACCACAGAATCATAGAAAATGAGGTTGGAATGGACCTCAGGAGGTCACATCTGGTCCAACCCCCTGCTCAAAGCAGGACCATCCCCGACTACATCATCCCAGCCAAAGCTTTGTCCAGCTGGGTCTGAAAAGCCTCCAAGGATGAAGATCCCACCACCCCTCCAGGTAACCTGTTCCAGTGCTTTACTACCCTCCTAGCGAGATAATCCTTCCTAATATCCAACCTACACTTCCCCTGCTGCAACTTGAAACTGTTGCCCCTTGTTCTGACATCTGCCACCACTGAGAACAGTCTAGGTCCAAATGCAGCAAGAAACACTGACTTTCCCAGCAGCACTTGCAGCTGGCCACCCAAAGTGATAGGAAGCTCAAGAACATGCTGGGACATGTCACTGTCTCTCAAGGAAGAAACCAACCCCAAAACAGGCTTCCAAGCAGACTGGCTGAAGATGCGGCAGGGGAAGAACCACCCATGCTGCTCTCACCATCAAGTGAGAGCAACACAGAAAGACAGTCCTCAACTCAGATTTGGAATAAACAAGATTAACTTGATTGCAAGTTGAAGGCTCTTTTCAAACCCACCAATGTGGTTTAATAAAAGCAACTTAAATGCCATGCCTTAGTTTGTGTATGTATTTCCCTTTTTATTGTCTGATAATTATAAGAGGTTATACAATATGTCTAGTAGTTGTGCAGATACTGTAAGAGCCTAAATCAGAGCACTGAATCCACATGCACTTAATTTTTTAAAGAAGTTTGGCTCCATCTCCAAGGCTTCACTCAGGCAGGCCTCACTATTGAGCACAAAAGACAGAACATTTTTAGCATTTTCTAAATTCCAGATATAATTTTTGAGAGCTGTTTTTTCCCTCTCTCTAGGGATTTTTTTTTTTTTTTGGTAATATTTATTCTACATCCTAAAAAGTTTAATAGCTCTATTTTAGTCCATTTGACACTCTCATGTCTATCTGATATATATAAAAAAATACATAGCATCTTTTAAAGACCAAAAAATAGAGAGAGATATATAAAGAGAAAGAGGAGGAGGACTTGACACCTGGGAAGAAGGGCAGGGCTGACTAAGGCTGGGCAGTTAGCTAGCATTATTTAGAAGAGAAGATATAAAAGAGAACATATACAACAGAATGAATTAGAGACAGGCCAAAGCTCAAGCACCAAACCTGAATAACCCCAGACTTTGGGGAGGTTCAGATCCAGAATTGAATGTTGCCATTGATTCTTTCAGAGTCCTACTAGAGCTGAGGATTCGAACATGCACAGTTCTCAGAAGGATGCACACCTTTTGTTCTGGAAAGAGGCAATGTAAGCTGCTGACAAAGGTTCATGTACGTTTCTTCCCTCCTAGTTTGCATGCCCCAATGCACTACCCCTCTTAGA